CGTCAGATATCGTTCGACAGTGTATCTCGAAATTAGAGAAACAGCTTGGTGAAAGAGTGAGGGTGATTAGGTCTGATGGGGGAGGTGAATTCGATAGTCTCGATATGAGGGAATTCTACCTATCAGCAGGGATCAACCACTACATTACACCAAGATACACACCGGAATTAAATGGAGTGGCGGAGAGAATGATACGTACCTTGAAGGGGATGGTATCAACGATGTTATTCGACTCAGGACTACCCAACGAGTATTGGTCCTATGCTGTCAGATACGCCGCCATTATAATCATGAAAACATCGATTGGTGTTACTGGAAAATCAGGGTGGACATCACTCACAGGAAGAGACACCAATCTAGATAGTGTGTGGAGGTTCGGTGAACGATGTTTCGTTCAGATACCAAGGGAGATAAGGCTGAAGTCGAACTTCACGATACCTAGGGGATCGTCAGCCATTATACTAGGTCAGGATGAGGGTGTGAGCGGTTGGATCGTTAGAATGGACGGATCGGGACGAATCGAGCACTCACGAGACGTTCGTCGCTCGACAGGACGAATGGTGACGACTAGAGAGTCGCCAGATATCATCCAAACCCCTCTTGACACCATCGAAGTGGACCTAGACCCCGTCGTCAACGAAGAAATTTTACCTGACGACCGCTCAGAAAGTGGCGAACAGGAAAATATTGATAATGAACAAGGAAATGATGTCGAAAGAGACAACTCACCTAATATAGGTCCACAACCCACTGAAAGACGACGTGGACAGGGCATTTGGGGAGGAAATTGGATCTATGAGAACGATAACGTCGAAAATGAGAGAAATGATGAGGAAGGAAGAAATGATGGGGATGAGGGGATCCTGACAACTCGTCATGGACGAATTATTCGACCCCCCCATCGTTTTGCAGGCCTAACAGACTCGTTTCTGGAGTTCGGTCGCGAGCCTAATAGGTTAGTCGCACTCGCCTCTATCGCAGGTATCGAAAGTGACACTTCTCTCATTGATCCTGTCTCTCCTGAAGAAGCAGTAAACGGCCCAGATGGTGAAAAATGGCTGGAATCCATGGAGAAAGAGATATCTAACATCGAATCTAAAGAAACATGGGTGGAGACAGTACTTCCACCGGGTCGTAAAGCCATAGGCTGTAAATGGGTATTCAAAGTGAAGACAGATTCAGAAGGAAACCTACTAAAGTATAAATCCAGACTAGTAGCTCAAGGATTCTCACAGGTACCAGGTGTCGATTACGAAGAGACATTCGCACCTGTCGGTAGATCGGGGTCATTACGAATACTCTTGACTATAGCGGCCACCGAAGATCTCGAAATTCGTCAGGCCGATGTCGAAGGAGCGTATTTAAATGGTAAACTCGATGTCGAAATTTATATGAAGTATCCCAAGGGGATAAAACCGAAACCTGGATGTAATACCTTGAAGTTAGTCAAGTCTCTTTACGGGTTAAAGCAATCTGGTAGAACATGGTGGATTGAACTCGGAGAAGGATTATCTCACCTAGGTTTTTCAAGGATCGAGTCAGATTGGGGTCTTTACTACAGACCAGAAGGGAAAGTCGAAGGAAAGGGAGCAGCAATACTGCTAGCCTATGTCGATGATCTAGTATTAGCCACGAAATCGAAGGAAGAAGCAAAAGAAATTTTCGATGGGCTAGGAAAAAGGTGGATAATAACCGACCTGGGGGAGATAAGTACTATCTTAGGTATGAAGGTAACAAGGAACAGAGAAGAAAAGACAATATGGTTAAACCAACCAGCATATATCGATAAGATAGTCCAGAAGTTTCCAGAAAACGACTTACATCGAGATCGAAAAACGCCGTTACCTCTTACTGTGAAAAATCCTTCGATGTCGGAAGTGGAGAGTGAAATTCGACCATTTCAAGAATTAATAGGATGTCTACAGTGGTTAGCCACATGTACTCGACCCGATATATCTTATGCAGCTTCGTACCTTGCTAGGTACCTCACCAAACCGACGAAGAAAGTATGGGAAGAAGGGATAATGGTAATTACCTACCTTCGGTCCACTCGGTTACATGGTATTCGTCTTGGTGGCGAGGCTAGCGATCTAGCAGGATGGGTTGATGCCGATTGGGCAGGTTGTAAAGACACACGACGATCAACTACAGGCTGGATATTCATGATGAACAACTCACCGATAACCTGGAGTTCAAAAAGGCAAGCTACGGTATCGTCGTCGACAGTCAAAGCAGAATACATCGCGATGGCTGAAGCAGCGAAGGAGGCTCAGTGGTTGAGAGGATTACTGAGGGAGATAGGCTACGATCAGCTAAATCCTACTATATTAAATTGCGATAACCAAGGATCGATATCACTGGCGAGGAAACCTGGTACTCACCAGAGAACAAAACATATCGATATTCGACATCATGCTCTTCGAGATCTAGTCAGTAATAAAGTTATTGAACTAGCATACGTCAGCACTGTCTATCAGAGAGCAGATGTACTTACGAAAGCTTTAGGTGGACCAGTACACTCGGTGAATATGTCAGCGATACGTGTAGAACCACCGAAGAAGAAAAACACTGGTTCAGTATACGTGACATTAGATGATGACGAAATCATCGATTACGATTATTCTGATTTCGAGGATCTAGGAGATCTGTCAGGTGGTACAAAGAACGAAGTGGTACCAGAAAGAGAAGTAGTACCAGGAAGAGAAGTGTGGGTGGAAGGAACTTCAGAGAAACCCACCGAAGGAAAAGTTCTCGTGAGCCAAAATGTAAAATTTTCAGGTGTACCTAAGAATGTGAGTAATTCGAAGGTAGGTCAAAAACCACCGGTAGAACCTAGAGTCATTAGAGAGATGAGAGAGAAGAATAAGAAAAGAGATAAGATGATACATATTGGAGGTTTTATTCAACCTCCATCGTCAAATCCACGAATTTCGGGAACTTGGGCTGGTAACCAGCGACTTTATAACCACCGAGGACAGCCTCGATCTTCTCGTGGAGAGAGTCAACAGTATCAACGATCTCTTGTACCCTCGCATGAGTACCACCATCTTCCAATAGAGCGTTCCCTAGCAAAAGGAAATGTTTATCGAGGTTCGACTTTAAGATCCCCAACTCAAATTGTACCTTCTGAGAAAGATCTCAAACTCAATAAAGTTCATGACATGACGAGCAGTAATAAACTTACAGTCGGGAGGATTGCTGGGGAGCAACCTAAGAGCAGGACTATCAGATGGTCCGGGAACCGAAGGAGTAGCGACAGCCGCGAGAACAGCAGGAGAAATTTGGGACATGACGATTTTGCTGCTGATGATAGATATCGTCAGCCAGGTACTCGAAGCAATTTCATCGATTCTCGGGATCCTACTAGCAAACCTGAAGTTTTAAGAAGCAGACAGGATAAAGGGAAGTTCAGAGAGTCAGAAATGAGAGATAGAAGTGGAGAAAGACGAAAGATGGACATACCGATAATTGGAGATAAAAGTGATGAAGTAAAAGGAAAGATAGAGAAGAGTCAGTCGTCGGTACCGGTGAGTGGTAGCCACGTGTCAGAGCGGAGCCCCGCAGGGGGCCCCACAGAAATTCATTTCACGATTTCACCTACCACTACTACCACACACATAACACTCAATATTTCATCATTACTACCTTCTACACCACCACAAACCTCGCCGTCGCCATCAATAAATCGTCCGGGACTACTGCAGAGTCGTGCATTGTCCCGTGGGGGAGTGTTAGCCGATAGAATCGGGCCAGGACGGCTGAACCTGTCACGCCCGTCGAGCAACTACTTCCTAACAGACCGACGGTCGACGAACCTCGGCTAACTTGATCCTTCTTAATTGATGTCTCACCCAACGGCGTACTTCGCCGTGGTTACTCTAACTGGGGTTTTGTTCTACTGATGGCAATGTATCTCGATTTGTAAATAGCTATCTCTATCTATCTTTCACTACTGACAACAATCAAGGATCGCTGAAGAACTTCAGCGATCCTCTCAGCTAAATATTATCTATTCCTCCTAGACGTTCATCCAACCCTCTCACGCTTTGACGTACTTCAACGCACTTCGTCCAACTTCCCCGAGTCCCCGGCTATCCTCTTCCTCCGACTACTAACTCCGCCTAACATCGCCGCACTTCTGCTCCCATTGTCCCTACTTAGCCTAACTCCGTCTAACTTCGCCGCACTTCTGCCCCCGTTGTCCCTACTTAGCCTAACTCCGTCTAACTTCGCCGTACTTCTGCTCCCATTGTCCCTACTTAGCCTAACTCCGTCTAACTTCGCCGTACTTCTGCTTCCATTGTCCCTACCTAGCCTAACTCCATCTAACTTCGCCGTACTTGGTCTCAGATGTCCTGAGTTACGTGTAGAGTAAAGAGTTAAGGTGTGATAGGGGTTTTGATGGTCAAAGGAGGGTCATTGCTGGTGGAATAATCGAGGTGTCACGACGTAGTTCGTGACAGTCGCCCCCTTCTTTAGCCGCGAACGTCCTCGTGAGCATTAACACCTCTACTGTGGCAAGAAAACTTAGCAGCGTAGTACCCCCATTCTCCACTTCTCCATAGCTATCCTTCGTCCTTATGCTCTCTGCGCCGCACTTCGTAGTCGGGCCTCCTTTCACTTCAAAACCCGACAATGAGACTTCCCTAACTTCGTCGAGGTTTGCCGTAAGAAGCCCTGTGTATTTCGTAGGTGAGACACGCTTCCCGAATGGTAGCCGAACAACATCGTTGTTTGTCGAAGTAACCCTCGTTTATATTGAGATAAGACACTATAGCGTGGGAATTTTGATCGTCCCTGGCTTGCCTTTTGTTGATGAAACGCGAAGTTTACCGCATGTTGACGACGAGGGGGGTAGGTCTGGTTATACTAAATGCTGAGCAGTTCGTCGAGCTTCTCTCTTTTCCCCATCTGCTTTCAAAACTTTCTATCTTTCTTACCTAGAAAACAGATTTAACCATCGTTTCGAGTTTTATTTTTCTTTTAAGTATCTTAACGTCATGGCCCCCTCTACTCCCACTACCAACCCTTTCGCCGCCATGAGGAACTTTGGTGGTATGATGTCGTCTGCTCGTGGGTTTTCGTCGTTATTCCCCTTACCTCGCCGAACTTGGCTGACGTTCAGTTTCCTTCGGCGATAGGTCGCGCCAAGTCTCCTCCCTTGGGCTCGGCACTCTCTCTTTGGGGGAACCGTCCGGCGCTGCCTCGCCTCCTCGCTCCGCTTCTCCTCCCGCTGCTTCTCCGGCCGCTTCTCCCCGCGCTGGTTCTCTCTCTCCGGAGTCAGAGCCTTCCGTCGTCGAAACTGGTCCTCCCGGTCCTCCTGCCACCTCCCCTCGCCGCAGGACGCCCGCCTTCCGTCCCGGTGAGTCTCCATCCTCCTCCGACCTGGACGTTAGTGGAAGCTCGGAGTCGGGTGATCAACCCGACGACGAAGACAATGAGGATGACGAAGAAGATGAGGATGAGGATGATTTGGAGGGTAGTGTTGATCGTGAAGGTGAAACCGAGTTAGAAGAATACTCGGAAGATGATATGGAGGTGGATAGAGTAGAGGACAACGACGTAGGTAGTCCTGAGCGTGAGTCCTTCGTCCATCTTCTCACACCTTCGCCGAACTTGACGTTGTTTATCTGTTCTTTAGCTCTGTAAGACACTGCTAACTCGCAGCCACTTCTGTCCCCCCCCCCTGCCCAACTCGCGGGTCAGAAACGACGCCGTTCCCTCTCCTCTTCTTCTTCTTCCTCCTCCTCCTCTTCCGAAGTTCTCCCCCCGCCCGACGCCATTGCCGCTGCCGCCGCTGCTGCTGCTGCCCGCCGTGCCGCCACCGTCTCCCGCCCTGCCGCCGCCGACACTCGCCCTGTCGCCGCCGAACCCGTCGCGGCTACCCTTCCTTCTCCCAGAGGGGAGCCTTCGCCCAAACGGGTGAAAAGATCATTGCGGGAAGAAGAGTACTTGTGGGAGAAGATGAAGTCCGAGCCTGGTCGTTGGATTGCGGTTGGTGTTGACGAAGCGTGTGATCGTTGCCGGTGAGTCCACCTATTCGCACTACGCCGAAGTTACTCCTGCTAATTAGTAGACGTGAGATTATCACGTATAATCGTCCAAATTGGCCCTGCCTCAAGGCAGTCAGGCCACACAACAAGGCCCTCCGTTGTGCTTCATGCACGTCTGGCCCCTGCTCCTTCTGTCCCGTTTCCTCTGCCCGGGACATCCCGCCCCGTCCCTTCGACGCTTCTCCCCTCCCCCCTCCCCAGACTCCAGCGTCTGTCCCCCGTTCGCGGGTACCGTCTTCGTCCCTCCGGTCGGTTCGCCGAACTTCGCCGTCCTCCCGCTCGTCACCTCCCTCGCCCTCGCCCTTTGTTCCTGTGGCCGGCCCGTCGCATCTCCCGGCTGCTCCTCCTTCGTCCTCCCGTCGTCCTTCGGCCTCTCGTCCTTCGGCCCCTCGTCCGTCCTCTCCTGTGGTGGCTTCTCCTCCGGCCCACGGCACCCGAAGTCGCCGTCCTTCTGCTCCTCCGGCCACCCCAGCGGCCGCTCCTGTCACCGAGTCCCCTGCTTCCAAGAAGACCCCGAAGTCTTCTTTAAAGAAATCAAAAGGGAAAAGGAAGGAGAAAGAGGTCGTCTTTGAAGCTGGTGATGTGGAAGATGAAACTACTCAGCGTGCTGGGCCTTCTGTTCCTCGGTTGTCCTTTGTCCACCCTCGCATCTCCTTGGACCCTCGTATCCCGGAGGACGAAAAAGAACTTGCTACGTATCGTTCTCTCGTTCTCGGCCTCACCACTCAGCTTGACGTCGCTCGACGTGATACATCTCTCTTGCTTGACTTCTCCACTCGTCAAGCCAACGCCTTGAATAACCTTTACTGCGGCGTTAGTAGATGTAGTCAACGGTGGGAATCTGAACGAGGAAGCAAGGACGAGGTTAGCGGACGTCTCTCGCCGAAGCCTTACTGAGATAGCCGATGTTCGCCGAAGACTTTACGACACCCCCTTCCTCGTTACTCCTATGGCGTACGAGCCACCACCGTCCATCGACTGGTTAGGCCCCCGGAGTAGTTCTCGAGTCCCTGCTTCTGCTCAGACTGCTCTCGATCTCCTCAGTCTTCCTTCCGAGTGTCTTAGGACCATACGTTCTCTGTGGAGGACTCCGAGCATGCAAGCTGCTCGGGATGTCCAGGACTTTGGTGATTTCTTTGGGGCTATGAATCGGGCATGGAACGCTTCTCTCTCGACTGTCTTCCCCCCTGACAGTCTCGATCTACCTTCGGCCATCGGTACTCTCCACACCAGTCTCGCGGGACCGAGTAGAACGAAGGAGAAAAGAAAAGGAAGGGGTAAGGATACGGGCAAGTGAGCGGTACGTAGCTGTAATCCTATGTTGTATGCAGTACGTTCTACCTCCTAGCCCTCCGCAGTCGCCCTTCCTTCGGTTTGGTAGGATGAAGTTCGTGGAACTTCGCCAATATGTCATCAGCTCCATCAACGTTTTCTACCGGTTCCCATGATACCGAATCGTCTGTTCCTTCGTAACCTAACCACTCCACTAGGTACTCTAACTTTCCTGACCTCTTATTTACTCTAGAGTCCACAATGTCTTTTACTTCCCACGATTCTCCTACGTCATCTACCTCTACTGGGCCAGGTGGTTCAGCTTGCTGACCAGGGAATACTGGAGGGTGATAGGGGCGAAGCAGTGAAACATGGAATACATCATGGATACCTGCCATCGTTCCTGGTAATTCCAGTTTACAAGCATGAGAACCTACTTGCCGTACTACCTTGTACGGCCCACTTTGCTTAACATCCAACTTCTTCATTGGTCTCTTAGTCTTGATATTCTCTAACGACAGCATAACTAGATCACCTTCCACGAAGTTCGGCGTAGTTCGATGTTTCCTGTTGTATCCTTCGGCGTACTTCTCGTTAGCTCTCTCAATCCCCTCAATACATTCCTTATGTATTTCGGTTAAGTCCTTTACTGCTATTGTAGCAGCAGGTACCTCGACTTCACTAGCCTTAATCTCTTCAGCCCATCGAGGGTGGTACCCGTAATTCGCATAGAATGGGGTTTTGTTTATCGCGGAGTGATGGGTGTTGTTGTAAGCAAAGCTAGCTCGAGCAAGCAGCTTCGACCAGTCGTTCTGCTGGTAGGAAGTGAAGATTCGAAGGTATAATTCCAGGGACTGGTTGGTTCGCTCGGTCTGTCCATCAGTCTGTGGGTGATACGCAGTGGAAAGGTGTAGTCTTATGCCGAGACTATCGGTCAAGTTCTTCCAAAACTTCGAAGTAAACTTCGATCCTCTGTCCGATACTATACTCTCTGGTAACCCATGCTGGGCCACCACATAGTCCATTATCAGCTCCGATAGCCCAGCTGCGGTTAACTTCGTCGTGGTTGGGATAAAAATGGCCCATTTGGTCAATCGGTCCACCACTACCAGGATGGAATTACTTCCATGGGAATTCGGAAGTTCTTCGATGAAATCCATCGAGATGCTTGACCAGGGTTTAGTAGCTACTTGCAATGGTTTAAGCTCTCCATGGGGTTTCTGTCTGTTAGTTTTTGCTCTCTGACATACCGCACAACCAGCGATGTAGTCCTCAACATCTTTTCTCACTCCAACCCAAACATAATCCCTTAGGACTAGTTCAAGAGTCTTCGCCGAACCTGGGTGACCAGCCAATGCCGAGTCGTGTCGCATCTTCATGATCTTTAGTCGAGCGTCGGCGTAGTTCGGCACATGAGTACGACCGTCGAATGCGAGGAAACCCCTTGAGGTCCACCCCCCACGAAGTATTAGAGGGGACAGCGAACTACGGCGTAGTTCGGTGATGGATCCTGGTTCCTGCACGTCATCGTGACACGTTGGACGAGAACACTCAGCGCAAATGACCCCTAATAACTCTTTCCTAACCTCCTTCACTTCTTCATCTTCCTGTATACCAACAATCAGATCCATGGGATCAATAAGGTCACTCTCTCTTACTTCCTTCGTCCCTTGCAAAGCACGAAGTAGGTGTTGTAACCCAGAGCTAGTGCCGTCGAGTTCGTCGAACTTCGGCAACCCTTGAATAAGGTTGCTCTCCTGCACCATAGTACTTCCTTTTCCAGAGTGGTAGTCTGCTCTTCTTGATAGTCCATCCGGCAGTGTAGCTTGTTTCCCAGGTCGATACACCATCTTAAACCTAAAGTTAGAAAGCTCTTCGACCCACCTGCCCTGCCTCGGGCTTAACTGCTTCGGTTCCATCCAGTATGTCAAGTTCAAGTGGTCCGTGAGAACTGTAGTTTCTACCTGTAACAGTAAGTGTCTCCTTCTTCTGAAAGCCTCAACGATAGCTAGTAGTTCCTTCTCGCCTACCGTGTAGTTTAACTGCGCCGCTTGAAACGCTCCTGACTCGATCGCTACCGGATGTTCTTGTCCTAACTCGTTCACCTGCGATATTATGAAACCCCACCCGAAGAACGAGGCATCTGTCTGTAGTAATGTCTTCAACGAGGGATCAAAGTGAGCCAATACCGGGGCCCTACACATTCTATCCTTCAACTCTTTAAAAGCTCTTTCCTGCTCCATACCCCAGACAAACGGTACATCCTTTCTTGTGAGGTCATTGATCGGTTTAGCAATCCTAGAGAAGTTGGGGACAAAACGCCGATAATAACTAACGACTCCCATAAATCCTCTGCTCTCTCTTAGGTTCTTGGGACGGGGAAAAGACACAACAGCGTCGATGTACTCTGGATTACTAGAAACTCCCTCCCGTGAGACCACAAAACCCAAGAAGACTACCGAGTCCTTTTCAAACTCGCACTTACTAGCCTTGACGAACAGATTCGACCTTCGAAGAACTTCGAATACCTTCGCCGTAGTTCCTCTCAATTCTTCCAACGTCTGACCATAGATGAGTATATCATCTATGTAGACAACCACTCCTTTCCCCAACAGTTCTCTGAAGCTTTCATTTAGGAAATGCTGGAATACAGCAGGAGCATTTCGCAGACCATCTCGAACAACAAGAGACTCGAACATACCGTACTGAGTTCTGAACGCCGTCAGGTGTTCGTGTCCTTCCTTTACCCGTAGGAGTTGATAAGCTCCAATCAGATCTAACTTGCTGAAGTACCTCGCTTTTCCTAGCTCTTCGGTTATCTGACCGATCAGAGGCAGTGGATAGGCGTCAGGTATCGTTGCTTCGTTTAACTTTCGGTAGTCAATGACCATTCGCCATTGACCCTTTGCCTTCTTCGGTACCAAGAACATCGGTGATCCGTAGGGCGAATTACTGGGTCGAATTCTTCCGGCCGATATTTCGCGATCTAGGATGTCTCTCAGCGCACTTCTCTGATCTTCACCGAGTGAGTAGAGTGGAGCAACCTTCAGGTTCGCCCCCTCTTTAAGCTCAAATTCCAGATCATACTCCCTTGAGGGAGGTAATTCTTCACCTCCCTTCCTCGGGTTAAACACATCAATGAACGGGTGATATTGTTCAGGAACCACCTGATACAATTCCTCCTGTTCCTCCGGACTCAGTTCATCCTGGTCATCTTTGTCTCGGAGATCTATCGCGTCCGTCGGAGTTGGCAGCCCTATGGCTGCTAACTTCGCCGCACTCGGTGGGGTTGGGATGGGGAATTTCATCGAGTTGTCTCTTCCATCTAGAACAACCCCTTCCTTCTTCATCCAATCCCACCCTATCACAACATCTGCATCGCAGAGTGTTGTTACGTCTAGACGAACAGATCGCACTTCGGCGCCCTTCGTCAAACTAAAACCAACTTCGACAAACTCGGTGATAGGTCCAGCGACACTAACCGAGCCATCAAACATGTGAACGGGTACGCTCACCTGGTATCGTCTCCTTCCTACACCTATCTTCGCCGCTGCCCTAGGGCTTATATACGAACAAGTAGCCCCAGTGTCCCAGAGCGTAGTTAGCTTTATTCCATTAATAAAAATGTCCGATTTAGGTTGATCCCTAGAAGTGGAAGAGATGACTAGATGATTATCGACATTGCATGAACAGGGGGTACTGAGTGGTGTATTTTTGTATGCACAATCCTCTGACTCCATCAGCTGTGTCTCTTTTATAGGTTTGGGAATGGTGGCCGAGAGAATATGGCGGACCCGCCGAGCCTCGCCTACTGCGACAGGTCCTCCTCTTTTCCCTGGTCCTCTCCCATCTCTCCATCTCCCCCAACTGCGTTCAAGTTCCTCCTCTGTCCCAGAGGTACTGCGTTACCCCCCGATCCTCCACCACGTTCGCCGAACTTCTCCCCCCACGGCGGCAACCATCCGACCTTGACCTTCGCTGCCCTCACCGGGCAGTCCCTCAACCAATGTCCCTTCTCTCCGCACTCAGTACACTTCCCTTCCTTCTTCCTTGCCTCCCACAGTTCGGGAGATGGCCTAGGCCATTGTCGGCGAAGTTCGTCGGCATTGGACGGAATGTTCTTGACCTGCGTCGGCGTAATAGTCGCCTGCACCGCAGACTGCGCCGAAGTTTGCCTCCCTTCCCCTCTCTTCTCCTCTTTTCTCTCCATCCTCTGGCTATCCACAACCAACACTTCCTTTACCCCCGTCTCCCTCTTCTTTTCCGCATCCTTCTCCACTTTTCTTCTCCACAACCTGTTGTCCATGGGAATAACAAACTCCAATAACTCCTTGACAGTCCCAAAAGATTTACCGTGTCTAGCGATTTCATCTAGGAGGTGTGGTTTCAACCCTTTCTTGGCTCGGTCAACCAGGTTTCCGTCATCAGACCACTTGAGTATCGCCACATGTCGTTGAAAAGCGGAGAAGTACTCCGAAGCTGACCCAGTCTGCTTTAGATCGTTAAGCAGTCGAGCTGCGGTTCCTTCTTCATCCGGGTCACCAAAGTTTGTCTTGAGATATTTAACGAATTGATCATACTCCCTAAGGTAGTCAGGAAGAGGTCGTTTAGCAAGATCGGGTTGG